ACATAATTATAATTTTATTTTTAATATTTATTAATAGGAAGTAGGTACATACTGTCCGTTCAGGCTAAGTTGAGCGGTCTAAGGAATGTCACCCAGTTCATCATCTCTATGTTCAGGCACAATTAAATACATGTATTTCGGTAGCCGCTCTGTACGAACAAACGACAAGCCGCGGCACTGATAAATCATCTTCTTATTACTAGGGATGCACCGGAATTCCGGCGGTACCACTAAATCCGGCCGATCCGGCCAGTTGGCCGAAACTACCGTTCCGGCCGGATCGCTTCGGCCGGATCGCTTTCCGGCCGGAATTTTCGGAACTTTTTGGAAATGTTTAATTTTTAAATTTTTTAATATAATTTAAATTCAAATATATGCAAAAATAAGGAAAATTTTTTAAGGTTTTTTTAATTGGTGCCTACTTACCTATTGTTAAGTCGTTAATTAACGAGGGGGTAGTCACTTGCGATTTTTTAGGACAGAAAATCTCCATTTGTGGAGATCTTCTTGAAACTCCGCAGATCTCCATGGATATTCTTGGATCTCCAGGGATATCCTGGGATCTCCAGAGATATCCTTGGATCTCCATGAATATACTTTGGATTTCCATGGATCTCCATGAATATCATTTGGATTTCCATGTATCTCCGTGTATCTCCTCTAGACCTCCAACCTTCTTTATCTCTGCCCCCATATACAATAACTTTTTAATTTTATATGGAATTATATCTTGGGATAAAACACGTTTTTGCTGTCAAAAAGTCGTATTTTGATATTAATAATAATTTGTATCCATATTTATAAAATGGATAAATCACAAACTGTTTAGCGGTAGTAAGTAGACTATTACGAATGGTTTGTAATACTTTACTCGACTTTACCTTATAATAGTAGATTATGTACCTACCATGGCAGAAAATGGATTATTTTTGTCGAATGACTGTAATGACTGTAACGTTAACTAACTCAGTTTTATTTTACCCCCGTACTTAACTTACAACTTGTTATGGTATTTTAGAGAAGATACAACATCTGAACATAAAATTAATAGAAAAACAAAAAATTAAAACAAATATATGACATCAACTTAGTTTTATTAAAATAAAAAAGTATTACATAGGTATAACACATGACTAGTTATATACTAAACAAAAAAAACAATGCAAAAAAACAATACCTATTTAGGTATCATAAAATTACAAAAAACATAGGAACAACAAGATTATTATACAATAACAAAAAAACTTATTGTAGAGGAACACTACGTAAAAAAAATATATAATCACCGTAATGATAATTCCGGAGTAATTTGGAATAAACACATAAAATAGGAACAAATTACCACTATAAAATTTTAAGGAACTCGAAAAAAAACGGTCTCTAAGACAAATCTGAGTTAAACACTTTTTTTAAAGATTTATGTAGAGTCTGTATTTTTACTCTGTCTGATCTTGACAGTTTCATACGGTGGGTACCGAGCATTGTAATGGGCCCATACATAATTTGAATGGGCTCTATTAGTTGCAGATCATCTTGTTTCGGACAATAGAATTCTTCAACGTCTTCTTTCATAAACTTCATTTGAATATTTTAACCACCTTCGAGACCACCTTTCCAATATACCACATTTTACCATACATGACTGCATAATAGTGCTCATTTAAAATGTTTATTTTTTGCGTATCACATTCTTCTTCTCTTTCAGAGTTAATGTCTAAGATCTCCGTGGAGTCGTTACAAGAAAACTCATTCGAATCACTTTCAGTCTCACGTTCAGCGCTCGTTTCAGAACTAGATGAATTTCGGCGGGATGTAGAGGGTGCGTTTATTGCTCGGTTTTTTATTTTGTGACTCTTTGGTAGCCTTTTTTGTGAGGTTTTTTGTGTTGATGTCTTTTTAATACCACCTCTAATAATAATTTTTTTCTTTCTATTTCTATTTATTTTGAATCTTTTTAATCTATCTGTGCTCAATTTTGAATTTTCATTAAAGAACAAACATAGGGACGATTTTTTAAAGGTTTTATGAAGCCATTCTCCAAAACAACTTTAAGGAATCGACTTTTGTCTTCTAAAGGTTGTGCAACTAGTGCATATGCATAGTTGGCTTTGCTCTCTTCTTTAAATTGTCGTTGTATCTCATGAACTGATGTTGCCTTAAAAGCCTTATTATTTGGATATCCATCTGAGTTGAAAGGTAGTACAAATCCAACATTAGTGTTTGTCGCTGGGCAATATTGAATTCTTCCGTTAATTCTAGTGCCATCTTCGCTTAACCATACTACAAACTACAAATTATTCTTAAACTGAAATTGGTGATAGAATGAATATTCGGTAACATCTTTATGAAATGTAGGTAATTCCACATTAAAAAGTGATATTAGAAAGGCCATATTCCCTAATAGTAGTAGAAAAATAAACTTACTTACCGTTTACCTTCGCCAATAAATAATACACAGACTACTACATCTACGCTTTACTTATACAAGTACATTCTTGAGCACACCACTAGCCGACCTGTTTGTATACAATTTAGCCGAAAACAGACGTGCACGTGTCGCCAAAGATCTATGTCAAATGGCCAGTTAAAATGATATGCGCACGCAATTACGCTTTTCCGATTCTACACGACTGCAGCCGAAGTTCTTGGATCTCTACGTATCTCCACCGGATTTCCACGTATCTCCACAGGATCTCCACGTATCTCCACCGGACATCCATGTATCTCCACGGACCTCCATGGATTTCCACAGATCTCCACATATCTCCACGGATCTCCATGAGATCTCCATCCCCAAAGACAGAAGATTTCCACAGTGACTACCCCCGAGGGGGTAGTCACTTGCGATTTTTTAGGACAGAAAATCTCCATTTGTGGAGATCTTCTTGAAACTCCGCAGATCTCCATGGATATTCTTGGATCTCCAGGGATATCCTGGGATCTCCAGAGATATCCTTGGATCTCCATGAATATACTTTGGATTTCCATGGATCTCCATGAATATCATTTGGATTTCCATGTATCTCCGTGTATCTCCTCTAGACCTCCAACCTTCTTTATCTCTGCCCCCATATACAATAACTTTTTAATTTTATATGGAATTATATCTTGGGATAAAACACGTTTTTGCTGTCAAAAAGTCGTATTTTGATATTAATAATAATTTGTATCCATATTTATAAAATGGATAAATCACAAACTGTTTAGCGGTAGTAAGTAGACTATTACGAATGGTTTGTAATACTTTACTCGACTTTACCTTATAATAGTAGATTATGTACCTACCATGGCAGAAAATGGATTATTTTTGTCGAATGACTGTAATGACTGTAACGTTAACTAACTCAGTTTTATTTTACCCCCGTACTTAACTTACAACTTGTTATGGTATTTTAGAGAAGATACAACATCTGAACATAAAATTAATAGAAAAACAAAAAATTAAAACAAATATATGACATCAACTTAGTTTTATTAAAATAAAAAAGTATTACATAGGTATAACACATGACTAGTTATATACTAAACAAAAAAAACAATGCAAAAAAACAATACCTATTTAGGTATCATAAAATTACAAAAAACATAGGAACAACAAGATTATTATACAATAACAAAAAAACTTATTGTAGAGGAACACTACGTAAAAAAAATATATAATCACCGTAATGATAATTCCGGAGTAATTTGGAATAAACACATAAAATAGGAACAAATTACCACTATAAAATTTTAAGGAACTCGAAAAAAAACGGTCTCTAAGACAAATCTGAGTTAAACACTTTTTTTAAAGATTTATGTAGAGTCTGTATTTTTACTCTGTCTGATCTTGACAGTTTCATACGGTGGGTACCGAGCATTGTAATGGGCCCATACATAATTTGAATGGGCTCTATTAGTTGCAGATCATCTTGTTTCGGACAATAGAATTCTTCAACGTCTTCTTTCATAAACTTCATTTGAATATTTTAACCACCTTCGAGACCACCTTTCCAATATACCACATTTTACCATACATGACTGCATAATAGTGCTCATTTAAAATGTTTATTTTTTGCGTATCACATTCTTCTTCTCTTTCAGAGTTAATGTCTAAGATCTCCGTGGAGTCGTTACAAGAAAACTCATTCGAATCACTTTCAGTCTCACGTTCAGCGCTCGTTTCAGAACTAGATGAATTTCGGCGGGATGTAGAGGGTGCGTTTATTGCTCGGTTTTTTATTTTGTGACTCTTTGGTAGCCTTTTTTGTGAGGTTTTTTGTGTTGATGTCTTTTTAATACCACCTCTAATAATAATTTTTTTCTTTCTATTTCTATTTATTTTGAATCTTTTTAATCTATCTGTGCTCAATTTTGAATTTTCATTAAAGAACAAACATAGGGACGATTTTTTAAAGGTTTTATGAAGCCATTCTCCAAAACAACTTTAAGGAATCGACTTTTGTCTTCTAAAGGTTGTGCAACTAGTGCATATGCATAGTTGGCTTTGCTCTCTTCTTTAAATTGTCGTTGTATCTCATGAACTGATGTTGCCTTAAAAGCCTTATTATTTGGATATCCATCTGAGTTGAAAGGTAGTACAAATCCAACATTAGTGTTTGTCGCTGGGCAATATTGAATTCTTCCGTTAATTCTAGTGCCATCTTCGCTTAACCATACTACAAACTACAAATTATTCTTAAACTGAAATTGGTGATAGAATGAATATTCGGTAACATCTTTATGAAATGTAGGTAATTCCACATTAAAAAGTGATATTAGAAAGGCCATATTCCCTAATAGTAGTAGAAAAATAAACTTACTTACCGTTTACCTTCGCCAATAAATAATACACAGACTACTACATCTACGCTTTACTTATACAAGTACATTCTTGAGCACACCACTAGCCGACCTGTTTGTATACAATTTAGCCGAAAACAGACGTGCACGTGTCGCCAAAGATCTATGTCAAATGGCCAGTTAAAATGATATGCGCACGCAATTACGCTTTTCCGATTCTACACGACTGCAGCCGAAGTTCTTGGATCTCTACGTATCTCCACCGGATTTCCACGTATCTCCACAGGATCTCCACGTATCTCCACCGGACATCCATGTATCTCCACGGACCTCCATGGATTTCCACAGATCTCCACATATCTCCACGGATCTCCATGAGATCTCCATCCCCAAAGACAGAAGATTTCCACAGTGACTACCCCCTCGGGTTCAGCCTCTTACTTCTACCGGTCGAACCTACACGCTTACCAAAGATGAAATGTTGGATTCTTCAAAAATTTTAGAAAAAAGAAACTAAAGCTGAAATTATCTAATTTTTTTCCTTTATAATTTAGTTTTTGAGTTTTTTTATTCCTTTTATCAATATTTTATCAAAATAAATACTACTATATTGCATGCATTTTTATTGTTATTATTTTTTTTCACCTTGTTCCAATCATTTCTTCATCTTGAAATTTTGCCAATATGTTGCTAAAATATTGAGAAAAAAAAAATATTTTTTTGAAAAAAATAAAAAAATACTTTTTTAAAAATTTTCAAAAAATATTTTTTTTTCAAAATTTTATATATTTTTTTCAATAAAAAGTATGTCATGAGATACCTCGTTCGAAAGGTATTTTCAAGATCTTTAAAATAAGCTATATATCGCTATTCTAGTATTAGTAGTTCTGGAGATATTCAATTTTTTCTTAGTACATGTTGAGGAGAATTTGACCGTTTTTTTGATTTTCAAAAATTAATTAAAAAAAAACTACTGGTCCGAAAAATCTGAAATTTTGGATTTTTGATCCTATTTATGGGTAGAATAACTGTACCAAAAATTATCAAAATCGGAGAGGTGACCTGCCAAACCATTGGTTGATTTGATATGAAATGACCCTGTTATATTAAAACTATAGGTACTAACATGGCCTATAACAAATATTATAGGCGCCATATTATTATTACCCTAGAGCAACAAATTGTCTTAATCCGGCCCTGCTGTTATGTCATTATATTTACTGGATTTACTGAATATATAGTTGGACCTTCTGTCTGTTATTTTCAATACGGCTAAGATACTTGCACAAGATGCAAAATCTGACAATTTTATTAAATTAATCCCCTACGTCCACACTTTGCATTTTAAAGAACCTATAACAATAATTAAAATGACTTAAGTCAGTGATGAGCCAGTTTTAATATAATATTTTCGGGAGTTTTCTCATTCTAATTCTTATGTTTTTTTAAATTAATACAACTGTAGGAAACAATTTTTTTTAAACGAAACTATACCCAAGGATAAGAAAAACTTACTTGATGGCATAATGGGGGCACCCCCGAAGCACATCTTTGGTGAAACTTATAACCACAAGTCCTACATGAAAATCCTTGAAACAACAGTCTTCTACAACACTCACAAAACACTAAGGAGAAAAATGTCTTCCTTACAAAATTATGTGAAATACTGGTATGTATTGGGAATTTATCTAATATTTTAACAGTAATTTCTTCACAATTTAGAGTGCTAATGTCTACATCCCAGTTAACAACAATATTACTGTCTCCAAGATAAACACAGCACATATCACATATCAAGTTCCGTAGTTTCATTGCCTTGGATAAAGCCTCCCGTAGTGTCAGGCCCTCTCGAACCTGAACACTTGTTCGTTGCTGATTTGGCAGATATGCCCTTAAGAATTTTGCTCTAGGAAGTGTATCATAGTGCCGGCCCAAATCTGGGGGTATAGGATAGTTTTGGGCTTGATTGCATAGGTCTTCTGGGGTTTCTCGACCACTGCTTAACTGCTCCCTCAACCTCCTTTCTTTTGCCTCTAATTCGTGTAGTTTAGACGTCAAGTGATCATATTCCTTTAAGTACATAGGAGGTGGATGTTGAAAACTTGCGAACTTGTCGTTAAGGGCGTCGATATTATTGCGGGTCAAAATTATTACGCTTTCGATATTTTTTAGCTCTTCTCTAATATTTAAATCTTCACTGTCAGTGGACATTTTGTCGCTGTTTTTATCAGCATTTGGCAAGAAATTAGTGCTTCCATTCAATATTTTTTTATTAGAGCTTAATCTGTCAATGTCAGGCAAAACAGCCATCGCACTGTAGATCGACGTTGCCATTTTATACAGTTGCAACAGCGCAGTCAACTGTTACGCCGGATCACCGCAACTAAGTTTACATGCTTTGCCAGATCATCCGTTCCAAGGCAGTGTTGCAAAAATCCTATTGTAAAAAATAATGCATTCGTTATTTTTTTTTAATGGAAATGTAATTCTACGGTAGCGTAGAAGGGCCACACTTTTTTTTTAAATATACGTTCCCTAGCGAATTCACCGAACGGTCAATTTACGTAAATTTTGCGTTGATTTAGCGTTGATTTCATAAATTTTAACGCAAGTTGCCATTTTTTGAGTTAAAATATTGGATTTTAACGTACAGTTGGCGCAAAAAAATTGCGTTAAGTTGAACCAAAACGTAACTTAAATTTGACTAGTCAAATCAAACTTACGTTAAATTTTAGCTAAAATTTAACGTAAGTTTTGTGATAACAACCAAAAAATTAACTATAAATAGACTTAAAATTGATTGATTAGGTAACCGATTTTACTCTAATTTTTTTTGTATAATTTGCGTTGATTTTGCGTTTATTTTGAGTCAATTATGACTTTTTGGTTAGGTTACCGATTTTCCTCAAATATTTTTTGTATAAAATATTTACGTTGAATTTGCGTTGATTTTGCGTTCATTTTGAGTCAATTTTGACTATTTGGTTAAGTTTTCCGATTTTACGCGAACATTTTTTGAATAAAATATTTGCGTTAAATTTGCATTGATTTTGAGTTTATTTTGAGTCAATTTTGACTTTTTATTATAATTTTAATTTTTTTATTTCTTTTTATAAAAAATTTCTTAAATTTGCGTTTACTTTGCATTAAATTTGTGTTTCTTTAGAGTCAATTTTGAACAACCAAAAAATTAACTATAAATAGACTTAAAATTTATTGATTAGGTAAACGATTTTACTCTAAAAAATTTTGTATAAAATATTTGCGTTGAATTTGCGTTGATTTTGCGTTTATTTTGAGTCAATTTTGACTTTTAGGTTAGGTTACCGATTTTACTTAAACATTTTTTGTATAAAATATTTACGTTGAATTTGCGTTTATTTTGCGTTCATTTTGAGTCAATTTTGACTTTATAATTAAGTTATCGATTTTACGCTAATATTTTTTGAATAAAATATTTGCGTTAAATTTGCGTTGATTTTGAGTTTATTTTGAGTGAATTTTGACTTTTCATTATAATTTTAGTTTGCTTATTTCTTTTTATAAAAATTTTCTTAAATTTGCGTTTACTTTGCATTAAATTTGGGTTTCTTTAGAGTCAATTTTGAGTTTTTTATTATGTCACTAAAAAATCACTGTTTTGATATTTTAAGTTATCTTTCGTTGGACATTAATGACTTAAATCAACAGCATATTATTGAAATTTATTGAAAGTAGTAATTGAAGACATTAGTGGGTAAAGGTGCACCTTTAACATGTTATGTCACATTTTAAGTAAAAAAGGACAAAAAATGTTCATACTTTTCTCTATTATTTTTAAACTTACAAGGAACTACCAAAATAAGTTTTTTTCTTAATTATTATTATAATTTAAAAACTTAAAAGTATCCACCAAACTGTTTTTTTTATGCAAAAATAAAATTTAAAAATTTTCTTTATTTTACTACCTCAAATTTCACATAACACCTTTATCCACTTATGTCTTCAATTAATTTATATTTATAAAAATGTATTGTCTAATATTTGCGTTCAGTTTGCGTTGAGTTTACGTTAATTTTGAGTTAATTTTGATATTTTATTTAAGGTCACTTAAACATCACTGTATTAGATTTAATCGTAACGAAATATTGTCTCGTTTTCGTCACTTCTAATTTTTAATGTCACGTTGTGCTACCTGGGTGTTATGTCACATTTTAAGTAAAAAAGGACAAAAAATGTTCATACTTTTCTCTATTATTTTTAAACTTACAAGGAACTACCAAAATAAGTTTTTTTCTTAATTATTATTATAATTTAAAAACTTAAAAGTATCCACCAAACTGTTTTTTTTATGCAAAAATAAAATTTAAAAATTTTCTTTATTTTACTACCTCAAATGTCACATAACACCTTTATCCACTTATGTCTTCAATTAATTTATATTTATAAAAATGTATTGTCTAATATTTGCGTTCAGTTTGCGTTGAGTTTACGTTAATTTTGAGTTAATTTTGATATTTTATTTAAGGTCACTTAAACATCACTGCAATACATGTATTAGATTTTTTAAGTTTTTTTTAGACATAAATGATTTAAATCAAAAGCATATATATATAATATATATATATATATATATATATATATATATATATATATATATATATATATAGATATGCAATCCTACATTACCAAGCCCGAAACGTTACATTCTACAGTATAAACGAAGCCCACTCGGTTTTTACGAAGCCCGAAATCGGGCTTCCTAAAATTAGCGTGTATAAATTTGTTTTAGAGTTAAGTGATGCCCCCTTGTTTCAATGGCGAAAAAGTGGTGGGCTTCCTAATGCCATTCAAACCTATCAAAATATACACCCTTAGTTCCAATGCTTTGGCGGTAGGGGGCACACGAGTCAAACGAGATTATATACAGATTTGTATAAGTATTACGCAGTATACGAAGCCCGTACATCTGGCAACAATGGGGACTATACGCTCGATGACTTTTTGATAGGAAGGCGGGGAAAATAATGCGGGATTCTTAAATTTGTATCTACTGATTTTCAAAACAAATGTTATATTCCCAAAATTATGTTTTGTTCACTACATGGCGTGGATTAAAAGGCAATGTTTTGTTAAATACTTTCGTAATACACTTAATTTTAAAGAAATATTTATTTTTGAAATATTATTTGGAGTGCATTTTTCTTTGGGGCGGTTTTACAAGTTGTCCAGATATTTTACATAGTTTTAATTGGGGAAACAAGGGGATTTGTATATATTATTATTATTATTCAATGTTAAATTTAAATAATTTAAATAAAAATAATTTTTAATTTATTTAAAAACTTTCCAATAGCGGTATGAAATAAATTAAAAAATATTTTTATTAAATATCATTTTAATGTAACATTGAATTGCAAAAACTGCTTTTTGACAGAAAGCTTCTCATGGCAATTTGTCAATTAACATTCACAACTGGTCAATTTATTTATACATGGCAAACAACGACCAAACGACCAAACAACAATAAGAAATTGGGTTCTTTATTTGGATAGTGCTTATCTAAAAGGAACCAAAAACTTGTTCGGAGCTTAACAAACTTATTTGTATATACCTAACTCATTTTTAATGCTGCTCAAAAACTTAATTATAATTTGAAAGTCCTCTCAATAATTTAAAAGAAGTTCTAAATAATGAGAAACTTTTTGAGCATTATTAAAAATGAGTTATTTTACAAAAAATGTTGTTAAGTCCAAAAATAGTTTTTGGCGCTTGGTTCCTTTTAGATAAGGATTGTCCATTTATACTTACCATTACAATATTATTTTATCAACAGTTTTGGTTAAAGTAATATTTTTATTGGTTAAAAGGCAGCTTTAACTTTATAATGTAGCTATAAAACAATATTTGGTTTGTAATACATTTTTCTTGTTTATAGGATGCTAAACTAAATAGCAATTTTCCCCACTTATTTTTTTTATTTTTCAAAATTTGGTTTAGTTTTTCTAAATTTTCCCAACATTTATTAAAATGGATATAGCCGGTTTTCCACGGATGCTCCTCAACTATGGTCTAGGTCTTTTAAATCAAATTTGCCTATAATTATAAATTTAGACAATATTTTTAAATAATGACTTATAATTCATTCAATAATATAATAGTTTTTATTAAAATAATTATAAATCACACTATTTTTAAATACACTGCCCTACAAAATTATTGCATAATAAATAAAAAAAATTAACTTTAAAACGCCTTTACTAATCTTTATGAAATTTTGGATAAAAATACTTCAACTTATATCTCAATTTACGTGTTCAAGGGTTTTTCGAGAAAATATGTTTAAAGCCTTTTTATTTAATAATGAAAATAAGTTCTAAAAATCAGTTCTAGGGAATTTTTTTAAATAAATAAAAAATATGCTCCTAAAGAGCGTATTTTTTTAGTATACCCTGAAAATTTTGTACAAATCAAGCAAACAGTAACGAAGATACAGCGCTTCAAAGTCGTGAAAAATGACCACTTTTCAGGCGTCATTTTTACCGACTTTGAAGCGCTGTATCTTCGTTAATGTTCGTTTGATTTGTACAAAATTTTTAGGGTGTACTAAAAAAATACGCTCTTTAACAGCATATTTTTTATTTATTTAAAAAAATTCCCTAAAAGTTATATTTCGAACATTTTTTCATTATTAAATAAAAAGGCTTTAAACATATTTTCTCGAAAAACCCTCTAACACGTAAATTGAGATATAAGTTGAAGTATTTTTATCAAAAATTTCATAAAGATTGGTAAAGGCGTTTTAGAGTTAATTTTTTTATATTTATTATGCGATAATTTTGTCGGGCAGTGTATTAAAGTATACGTCATTATTTAGATTTTTTAGAATTTTTTGGTGTATTTAAATCTAATAATTTAAAAAAAACTAGATGTCTTTATAATTCATGAAAAAAATATTCAGTCAGTTTCACTTGTTTTGATTCCCATTTAAGTTTTACACAAAATTACCTAACCTCAACAATAATTCTTATAATAATTATAATTATTGATATATTTGTATATTTTTTATTAACATATGGAAATATGTTTTTAAAGGCTTAACTTTTAAACAAAAACGAATCGCATCCATGTCATTTAAGAAAAAATGTTTATAATTAACCCAGCTATCATCTGACAAAGTTTGCCATAGAGCTTGTAGAGCACCCTGTATAAGATATTTAAACCTTTTCAAAATTATGATGTATAAACAAAATAAATGAAATGTTTATACCTATAGGTACCTAAATTCAACAATACTTTTAAATTATTATAATATAAATAATTTTAATTTAACGATAATTATTATTATAATAATT